CCGGTTTGGTTCCTTTTGAAAGTAATAATTTTTGGGGTAATTTTCAGGTTTTTAAAATTTTTTTTTTTTTGTTTATTAAAGAAAAAACCCCCCCCCCCCCCTGTGGCAGTAAAAGATATAATTTTAAAAGCCTGATACTTACCCACATAATTACTACTATCAAAAGGCACCAATCGCGTACACTGCCAATAATGATATATGAAACTTATATTTTTGATGCACCCTAATACATATGCTGAATGAATAAAGAAAGAATTATGTTTCTCATTTTCCATCTTGACAATAGCTATGCAATATAGTTTCCATTGCAAGAGGTTCCATCATAAGACTGTCATGTCCAAAGCACACTCCTCCATACACTTTTTATAAGCTAGTGTATGAGCCCATTTCTACACCCTGATTATATAGAAATCAATAGGTGTTGAATCTGGCAACTTAATCAGAATGCCTTTGTATGGATTAGCATGGATAATCAATTTCATTATCTAGCAACTTGAAGTAAGCAATTGTTGTATAGATAGGTCATGGAATCAACTAGTGTAAAAATGGCTTGTGTCTCTTTTCCAGATGAAGATCCTACTTGATTGTGTTGCCTGGGGCTTGTGGAAGAATTTTACCATTGACCTTTGTTATCATGGCTGGGGTATGAGTTGTTGCAGGTCTCTTTTTGGATGGTCCTGGCTCCCCAAGTTGACCCACATTTTTTTGTTCTTCAATACAAGTGATAACTTCTTCTTGGAAATTCTAACTCCCTGATCTGAAAACATCATTATGTTCTCAATGTATTGACACTTTATGTCAGAAAGGGCTATTATAATTCCTTCCCAAAAGCAATCAACTTTTGGTGGCATCACACTACCTAAAAACTCCAAGTAATATCAAAATGTAGTTCTGATACATTCTGTACCACCATGATTTTATATTGGCTATGGTTATCACTTGACTTACTGATTGGCCTATTCAAAATCGTTTTAATATAACACCTATAATTCTGTGTATGTATGTATAGTGAGTACACAAAACAATGTTTATAGTACATGTTACACAGTAAGTAATAATACATACAGCATACGCACACAATATATGAATGAAAGCATTACATAATGAACTATTTTCATTTATGGTCATCAGCAAAGTTAATCCAGAAACTACCATAAATAACATCTTATCTAATCCACTTTGCTGATTCTTATTTGGCCGATAGCATCATAAAGTCATTGAGATGCTGTTCTGCCATGGTACTATGGAGCTTACTCTTAATAAGCTGCAATTCAGAGGAGTGCCCTCAAGATAAGATGTGATTGGCAGAGTTAGAGTCAAGCAATAACAGACACAGAGAGTTCAAGTTTGAATACATTTTTGTGAGCCTCTTCTTTACCATATATGTAAATAAATGTGATTAATTCCTTCCAATAAGAGAGGCTGTGACTGCTTGAGCAGACAGCTTGTATTCAGAAACCAATAGTTCACAGATGATGTCATCTGTATAGAAGATAGCCAAGACTTGCGGCATAGGTATTTTCTATGTATTTGTACATACTAAACAATCAAAAGACATGAAAAGCAGCAACAATACTTTGAGCACACAGCATCAAGTCTGATACATCGTAAAAGAATGTGATTTGGTAATGCTCTTTGACAATAAATATGATAGAAGAAGAAGAAAATAAAGTTAACATAAATACAAATGATGTACTCTTAAAAGTAAATTGATTATATATATATATGGAATATGTTTCATACATTTTATAATGTGTTCCAAAATGCTAATTATTTTGCCCTAGCTTTTGATTTACCATAAAGATGAAGCCATGCTTTCACAAACGTTTCTAAAGTTACAAGAATCAAAAGAAAAATGTAAATCTTGAGTAATTACAACTTCATATATGAATAAAAAAACGAGTGTAAAATAGTAAAATTTATCATTCAGTTTTCCAAATTATACATATAAGATACTAAAATGGCCTTATTATTTTGGTTGAATTCACAAATCACTAGTTACACTTTTAGTAGATAATTAATTTTGACTACCTTTAAGTTATCCAGAATCCTCTGATGATTCAGATAATTTTCTTTGTCTATAGAAACAAATATTTACACTAAATGTAGAAAAATTAGTAGTAGTAACAGATTTTGTAGATATATCTTTAGCTTGGATTTACATAACTTACTTACATAATTCACATAATATTCTTAAAAGAAAAAATTACTTACTAATAATAATAAGTAGTTGAAGCTATTAATCTATATTTTTAAGAAAATAATAATTTAGAATATGCTAGTCATTAAATTATCCAAAACCATGACTCATACTTCTATTAAATTTGCTTTATTTTTATTTCAGCTTGGTTACATAGGAATTATCAAAGTTACACCATGCTTTAAATAAAATTAAGCCAAAATATATATAGTTAAATTTGATATTGTAGAAAATATATCATTCACCGAAATGTAACAAAAACGAAAGCCCTATAAGTGATCCTGTTGGCAAGTACAGATTAAGATCACTGCTTGTGCTTATCTTTGAACTCTTTCATGAAGTTGGACAAATGTTCTACTTCGTCCACAGTGATGGCATTGAACAAGGAAGCCCGTATTCCACCAACACTCCTGCAAAAAATCAAACAAAAAGAATGCAATATATAAAAAAAGTGTTTCCAAAAAATATGCCTATTAACTTGAAAGGCAAGATACTATTCATTATTATAATTTTATTTTAATCAATTCATGATGAAAAGCAGGATGTTACAGAGCTCGATTTATTTTTTAAAAAGTCCACTTTTTGAGTTATCCTATCTACATACTAAAGTTTATATTACAGATAAAAAAATATTCCTGAAGAAATTGTCATCATTTGGGAAAATCTTTGTTTGTTAAGGAAAAAGACATCCACACTGATAAGACAGAAGCTTACTGATGAAAATTTTACTAAAGTGGAAAGAGTAGAAACATATCTATATTTAGAGATTTTGAATGGAAGTGTAAAGATATTAGCATTGCTTGAAACAATCTTGTTGGAATTCTGTTACCGTAGTAGGTTCAGTCTTTGGTGGTTTAAATAGAATATTTTGAAAACAAAACTTTCAGAGATACTGTAAAACTACGAGACTTCTTGTGAGAAGTCTAGCTTCTGAATGTGTCAGACAATAGTAGAGATAGTAATTAAAAAAAATACAAGTTATATTTTAAAATCCTCCTTCAAATTAAAATTATCTTTCAGCTATTAATGATAAAAATATATTATATAAACAAAGAGACATTTGAATAACATTTGAACCTGTTGGATATACAAGAGTATTTAGTGTAAAAGTGTTCATTTAATGAACTAATATTTAATGATTATTTAATTTTATAACAAGTGTTAAAATTAATTAATTAAAGGCAATAGTTATAACAAATTTCATTACATACCTCGGTATGAGTCGTACATTGTGTGTGTAGTTCAATCATTGATGTCATCTTTCTCAAAACCTCTATGTTTTTTTTTGCTATGTGATTATTGTTACATCATAGTGTCTCACAGTTTGTCAAAAATTCTAGACCTCAGTTGGGTCCACAGCTCTAAATAATTGTCTTTTTTTTTTTCAATCAAAAGTTCACACAGGTTTGTTCAGTTACTTTAGAACCCAATTGACAAGATAAATACTTTTTCTATCTTCGTTGTTATAATACAGCTGTGAAACACACTATAGAAATCACCCTTTAAGGCTAATCACTCGTATGCTGGTTAACTTCATGTTTTCTTCCTCTAACTAACTTTTTTTTTTCTGATTGAACTTTACTTGTCTTGTGTTCCCTTGGTAGTACCCCACAAAAGTTAAGTGAGAGTAAGTAAGAAAAAGTTAAGTTAGATTGCCGATTGTTAGTTTAGCGGTAACAGGCAATATTTTAATGTGAGTTTCACAGTTTAAAGCAATAAGGTTGTTCAAAGGGTGTTCTACAGTAATTAAACTCATCTGTGTGGACTTTGATAAAAAGGAGACAATTATTTAAAGTTCGAGATAGAACTGTGGTAACCCATGAAGAAACAGAGTAATGAAAAATAATTCATCTTGTCAATTGGTTTCTAAAGTAATTGAATCAGCCTGTGTGGAATTTTGACAGAAAAAGAGAATTATTTAGAGTTTTAGATACAACTGTCATATCCTATAGTGTAAAGATTTTTTTGTACATAAGTTTGATTTGTTTTAAATATATTATTTTAAAACAAGTGGATTGTATGTTGTCCATTTATTGTCTGAATTTATTGCCAATAAGTCAGAGACACCTACTGTAGAAGAATCCCATTTCATTCATAAAAAAAAACGAAAACACCTTGACATTTTTTTGGTGAGCCAGCCAGGATTAAATAGTGGTAAACAGTGGTGAAAAAAAGGACATGAGCGACAGTGGAAATAAGTAGGCCTATATATGGACAATTGTGGTGGTGGTGGCAAAAATAGTGTAGAGATTACAATCATGCTATATAACCATGTCAACAGATTTTAGATAAGTGGATTGAAAGAAGTGAGTATCTTGGACTAAAAGATAGTGAGTCACAAGAGTTTGTTCAACAACTACAAGAACTAGAGAGAGAACAATAACAACAGAAAAGAGAGGAGGAGAGGCAGAAAAGAGAGGAAGAAAGACTAACTAAAAGAAGAAAAAGGATGCAGAAAACTGAAAGAAAAAGAAGGAAAGGAAAGACTGAAAATAGAGAAGAGACAGAGAATAAGAGCACAAATTAAGATTGCCAAGCTCACCCAACAGAAAGAAGAAGGACCCAAGAATGTCAACGAGGTCAGGGCCAGCCGACCCAAGCTGCCCAAATTTGATGAACAGAAAGATGACATGGATGCTTTTCTGGAGATATATGAAAGATTTGCCCAAAGTCAGAACTGGAACAAAGGTGACTGGGAAGTCTGTCCCGCTTATTTCTCACAGGAAAAGGTCTACAAGTGTATGCAGGCATGATGTTAGAAGATTCCATGGACTATGACAATTTAAAAGTGGCCTTGCTGAAATGCTATGAATTACTGAGGAAGATTTTTTATTGGAAGTTCAGAGAAGTGAAATCTGACACTGGAGAAACTGTATTTCAATTTGTGGCACATCTATGGTGATACTTCACAAAATGGACTAACATGGCAAAGTGTGAAAACAGTTTCAAGGAACTGGCAGATCTACTAATACGTGAACAGTTCATGATCACGTGCTCAACTGACATGCCACTATTCCTAATGAGAGAGCATCAAAAGACATGGAGAAGATTATCAAACCGGCAAAACAGTATATGGAAGCCCATGGAGGGAGTATAATGGGCAAGTACAAGAATATCCAGTTAAAGTCTAAACCAATGGTGGCTGACCAGAAGCAGGAGTCAACCAAAGGTGACAGGAAGTTAACAAACAAATGGGATAAGAGATGCTATATTTGTTATAAAATTGGGCACATTGTAAAGGAGTGCAAGTCCATCACTAACAAAGAACAGCAGAAATCTCAACATAAAGCAGCTGGAGCTACTTACAAAAATAGTACTGGTAAGAAACACAAAAAGAGTGACTGTCACCATGGATGCTGCTGCCAGAATAAACAGAATCAAGCATGTCAGATTCACCACAAGAAGGAAGTGCCATTCCAAGATTGATCAGTGTACCAATAATGATCAGCTTAAGTTAGCAAATGGAACAACAGTGCTAGTAGTGATTGGGTCATGTAACAAATAGAGAAATGCCAACAAATCACAACATGGCAATAGATGAAGACTATGTCAGGGACAAGAAAGTGAAGGTCCTACAAGACACAGGGTGCATAAGTGCAGCAGTGAGAACCAGTCTAATATCTGATAACCAGATGACAGGCAAGGTGTGCCTGTGTGTGCTAACTGATGGAACAGTGAGAAAGTTTCCCATACTAAAATAGGTGGATACTCCATGTTATGTAGGAGACCTTGAAGCCATGTGTATCAAGGCCCCAATATATGACTTGGTGAATGGAAACATACCAGGTAATAGAAATTTGGAGGAACTAGACAAAAAGAAGACTGATGTGGCATCTGCAGTCACCACTAAAGATCAAGAGAAGAAGATAAAGCAAGACACCAGGCCCTTACAAGTACCAAAGAGTGACATCCGAAATGTAGGTTTATGGGAGTGGAAGAAAGTGCAGAAGAAAGACCCTTCTCTGCAGAAACTTCAGGACAGTGCCTGAGAGACAGTCAAGCACAATACAAAATGGATAGAGATTGATAAAACAGAGGACTAGAAAGGAGTATTGAACTGGACCTATCAAAGCAGTTCTACTGGTGAAAATAAACACATCACAGGTAGTAAGAAGTACTTATATAACAAGAAAGTCAAGAATTGACATTTTGAGGTTGGAAAGAAGGTGTTAGTTCTGCTAGCCAAAGCCAACAAGAAACTCACCCAGTTTTTGCAGTACAGGAAGTGGCCAACAGAATGCACTATAAGGTAAACGTGGATGTGATGACCAAGGACTACCATGCCAAACTGTTGAAGAGGTACTTTGAGAGGGAAAAAGACCTTACAATTGCAGCTATTGAGGTAAAGATGGACACGGCAGAATCTGAAGACAGTGACTTCATTATAAGAGATAAAGACCTACTAGGCCTAAGATCATTGGGGGGAGATGAAACATACAAGGAAATCAACATAAGTGAAGAAGTGACTGGCAAGAAGAAGAAATAGGTAGAAGATCTACTGTGCCAGTATACAGAAAAATTAGGAAAAACAGACCTCAGGAAATGCAAGATCTAGATGAAGATAAAGGATCCTGTCAAGGTGAAGCCCTACCTGAGACCCTATGAGAAGAGAGACCAACAAGGAAACTGCAAATATTGGTGCAGAATATATTTTTCTTGAAGAGGGGCTTATTGTTGTATATACAAGATATAAGACTGTTTAGTGCAAGAGCTATTATTTAGTCCATTTATTGACCTAATATTTAATTGTTATTTAGTTTTATAACAAGTGTTAAAGTTAATAATTAATTATTAATAACTAATAACAAAATGTAAAATAACCTCAAACAAATAACTAGACATGCATAAATCAATGTGACATTATTTGTTTTTAGTAAAAACATTCCTGTAAGTAAACTGCCTTGATTTGGCTTTCCAAAATATGATCCAAACACAGTTTTGAAGAAATTCTGTAAAGTTATTAGTTAATATGAAAGAGAAAAGAAAAAATAGAATTGTTTGCATTTTTAACTTAAGTTTATTGGGTAGTCAATTCCCATTAAAGGGGAAATACTGCATAAAATAATTAGTAGATACAAAAGAAAATCTATAGACCATATAGGAAACAAGTGAAAGAATTTTGCACAATATTTGTCAAAAAGAACGTACTTACTGCATGGTGTTGACACTCAGCTCATTAATGTGAATGCAGTAATGAATTTCAGAATATATAATGATGTAAGTGCAACAGCATATTACTTTGTGTAACTAAATGAAGATGTCACCAATAATAATTAATCTAAAACAATCACAATTACTCTGTAAGTTATATCACTGATATAATTTTCCCAATTAATATAAGAATTATTTACACAGGCATAAACCTTACACTATAAAATAACTAACTGAAAGATTTTGATTTTGATATATGACTTAAAGATTCTTTAGACAATAAAATAAGGTGTTTCACATATTAACATTTTGAGAGAGCTTTCATAGCAACTATGTTTCACTATACTTTTTTAAATTCAATTTTACTTGAACACCTTCACATTAAATTCCACAAAAATATGAATACAGTTATAAAACCAAAAGCAACCTGTAAGCAGAACTTACATGGTTGATTTCTGGCCTCACCTTGTGTATGAACAAGATGATCATTGGCCCTTGTTAAGATCTTTAAAGTAACTTGAGTGGACAAATGTTAGCACATTTGATCTATTCAAAGCCTTAAATTTCAATGTTCCTTCACATGAGTCAACAGGTTTATTTTAGTAGAACTGATATAACCTTGGTTACAGGAAGGACAGATAAACTAAAAAAAAAGATTTGAGTGAAGAAATATGGTCTTGAAACCTAACTAACAAATTCTACAAGTGATGATGACAGCCTTCCAACCATTGCTTTTCCTGATAACAAAGAAAGAAATTTGAAAAAGAAGGAGTCAATCTAGAACCCATAGCCACTCCATTACTATTAAACACAAAATGAGATTGATTAGTTTCAAAATTCACCTATTTAAAAAAAAAGAAAAAAAAATAAGAAATATTCAAATCATCTGAGTTATTACCAAAAATCAAATCAGCACTTAACTGTATAGTTTCTCATAAAAGAATATTCATATTTTAAGACTCAGTATTAAAACTAGCATAATAAACATTGCTATTAAACTTCAATTTTTGTATTTTACATGAAAGCTCAAACTTTCTTTCAGAGTATATAGATTAGTAGCGAATGTTTTGAAAAAGCCAAAAAATTATAGGTTCCAATGTTTGAGACTATAGGTCATAACAGACATCCTTCTTTATGTATTTTAGAAAAACCACGAAAATGTCCTGTTTCTCAGTTTAAAAAAATTATCTGTCTTTAGTTGCAGTAAATATCTTTGTAATTTATGTATCTTTACAAATTTCATTGAATCACTTTAAACATTTTCAGCCTTTCTTAAATATTCTTTTTATCCAAAATAACTATACTATATTTTTATCTGATTTAGAAATCACAATATTGTAATTTTTTATAAATACTTTAAAGCTATTAATCCTTCTTTACTTAAATTTTGAAAATAGTCAGAAAACTAGTTATCAAAAGATGTCAGAGCTACTTTACTACTGTAAACAATTAGTACCAGATTTAGAACAAATGGGTTGGTGTGACAACAGTTGCAAAAAAGTGTTCAAATTGTAAAAAAATTTCTTTTCAATGTCAAAACAATCATAATATGTTTTTTATGCAAACATATTTTTGATCTGGTGTTTTTTTTAAGTTAGTTAACTGTTTTCCAAAATTGTAAACAAAATATTATTATTATATGTTTCAACAGTTTTAAAGTATAAGAAATCAAAACTACTTACTTGATGTTTCAATAAAGCAAAACCTTTTATAGATTTTTATGTTAAAAATTTCAGAAATACATTCTTCTATCTAATTTCAAAATTAGGCTGTTCTTTTTGAGCTTTATAATACTGTTAAGAATGATGAAACTGAGGTACTGAAACCTCGAAATTTAAAAAGTTGGGTAATATATTTAATTACTTACATTCATTTATTCTTAGAATATATTTAATATTAATAATACTTATTTTTAGGAAATTTCTATTAGATTATACATAAATTTCAACTTAATACACTGGTAACCACATAGTATAAAATAAGACCTTATTTTAAATACTTTAAGTTATTTCTTCAATAACAATACATATAATCATCCCAGTACACAAAATACCTCACCCTAGCTTTGAAGCATAATGGTAGGGTCACCAGATGATATGACCCCAATCTATTAAATACCAATATTATCAACTCAAATTAGTAAAAACCAAATAAAACAAATTACTAATATTTTTTTTTGTCTATAGAATTCAAATTCTTACAAAACATAAAAAACAACAACATTATAATGGAAATTGACATAACAAAGATAAAGAAAGGTGTGTTGGTATAAAACTTACACACAAGCTTTCTTGTTTGTTTGTTTGTTTTGAATTTCTCGCAAAGCTACATAATGGCTATCTGCGTTAGCTGTCCCTAATTTAGCAGTGAAAGACTAGAGGGATGGTAGCTAGTCATCAGCACCCACCGTCAACTGTTAGGCTACTCTTTTACCAATGAATAGTGGGATTGACCATCACATTATAATGCCCCCATGGCTGAAAGGGCAAGCATGTTTGGTGGGATGGGGATTCGAACCCGCAACCCACAGATTGTGAGTCGAGTGCCCTAACCACCTGGCCATGCCAGGCCCGTACACACACACACACACAAGCTGAGGCCAGAAGTATACCTTCGCATATTCATAACACTGTTCAGATTAACTCTTTTGATATACATTAAAGAACTTGTAATATCTGTACTTGCTGCTTCTGTTTTGAGTTTTGGAACTCATGAATCTTGTAATGATTCTATGCTACATTTATAGTAGGTTTGTTTTGAGGGGTCATATCTCATATATATATATTAATACTGAAGCATCTACCTTCAGATGAATGTGTACTAATATGAGTTTAGATGAATACATATTAAAATGTAAAAGTATAGGTGTGCATAAGTAAATTCTGCAAAACAAAATAACAAGTTTCTAAATAATCAAAAATGAAAAGGGTGTTTTCATTCATGAGTTATTTTCAAAAGGCAGTCTATATATATATATTTCTTTAATGAAATCATCATGAACTCAGTATTATAATTTATTTCCACTATGGCTATAGAAAGGTTGGAAATGATTAACGCGTCTTATATATTTTCCAAGTCATAATTAACATTTTTGTCAAATTGTTTTAAAGTATTTGCATGTGGTGATTAACTTAGAAAATACCTAATTGGGGACTAATATTAATTATGTTTACTTGTAATTTAGAGAGTTTATATTACATGTATTTCATAACTTTTAAACAGTTATTATATTATAGATTTTATAATTACAGAAATACATGTGGATTCACACGTCAGACAAACACATTTGGTTTATAAAGTATAATTAACTCAGTAAAGCATGATTTATTAATTTGTCCATAACATCATGCTAAAGGAAGCTGAATTTTAGAGTTTTTGGATTAGCTTTTGACAAAAAATACAAGTTTTCTCCAGCGTGTTTACAATACCCTGGGTTTTCTTCTGCAAAACATTAGTGGTCAGACTTTCTCAGTCTCCATTGAGCAAATTTACATAATTTTTTATCTTTAAGTTAAGTTGACAACAGGCTATGTTTCTAACTTGTAAAGTCAAATTTTAAGTGTTAGGGCAGAGTACAAAAAAACGTATTTTAGCTTAAGAGCATATTTTGATATTTGACGAATAAAAAGTGTTCATGTAAAAAAAGTATTTTTGAAGTGATTTATCCATGTTCTTTTCTTCCCCACCCCATTTGAGACTGTCACATTGTTTATTACAATAGACTATCTTTATTAAATTATCCCACTAGACAAGATAAAAAATAACTTAATACAATAAATAAACTACATTAAGTTAAAGCTTTTTAATTTGAATAAAGGTTTCTGAATAAAAGAGAGTTATTGTTTTTTGGTGAACATGCCCTTGAACAAGTACTTTTTTACTGTGATATTCACATGAAGAATGTGAAATTGGTACCTAATGATAAGAAAATGAAGCTTTGCATTAAGTGAAAAATTAATACATATATTTCTGTTTCAAGTGTATGTATTATGCAGTTTATTTATAGTCAAATTGACATTTTCCCTTTAAAGAATAAGATCATTATTAAGGATTTAGTATAACACAGTTTCAAATGTTCTTAGATAGTACAGTGAGAAATATACAGATGTAGAGAAATTTACCTTTAATTCTATTTAAATGATACATACTGTTATAAGTTTACCTTAATACTGCTAAATCCTTACCTATGTCCTTTCAGTGAAACCATTCCTCTCTTGTGAGCTTCATCTAGAAATTTCTTCTCAAGATATTCACTTCCTTCTGACCCACCAATTCTGAAGGGAATGTTGACTCTGCTGCGATCCTTTGGGAAAACACTGGAGCTGGAGCATCAAAGAAGATATATAGGAATATTAATTTTTTGTTTCATACAGACATACCATTAACCTCTTAACATGTCACATTGATAAAAACTTTTAAACTCAACTTCACAAGATGTTAGGAAAAAGCAACAAACTGAGATAACAATATTGTAGTCATACAAATCACCTGGTTAACATTATTATTAGTGTTATAAAAAATCAAAAGATTCTTCCTGTTTACAAGAAAAATACTGAAGCTAATGTGCAAGTTCATTTCAAAATTGTACTTTATATCGATTTGAAAGAAATATAATGTAGCATACACACACACACACACATAAGTTACATAATTAGATTGTCTATCATCTGTAAATGGTACTTACTAGTAGAAACCAGAAGAACTGTCAATAACATCATAAATAAGTTTGGACTTCACTTGCGATTTTTCACCCATAGCTTCTGCACCTCCTTGTTTCTTTATCCACTTGAACACCAAGTCCATTATGTATATACTGATATGCAAAATAGTATTATTAGTTCAAAATTTAAAAATTCTCAGATTTAGAACATAGCATATTTCCAAATAATTTCTGTGAATTAAATAACAATTTTAAAGAAATATAATATGATGTTTCCTATAATAAGAGAAACAATAATGAAATATACAAGTATGAAAACAAAATAACACAGTGATTTAATAACATGTTATATTAATTCCTTACAGTGGTTAAATTTATAACAGGGAAATCATTCCATCACTTGGATACCATACTTTTTAAATTTGTTCACAATATGGATTGAGGTTTTTAAGCTGTTGTGGTACTTGAAATTGAAATCTTACTTAGAAGTACAGTGCTGTTAACTGGTTCTTTTCTATAGTAAAAGCTTTATGATGATAGGATAGATCAATCTCATTGTTACAATGTATTTCTTTAATTATTTTACTCTTTTGACAAAACATATTGCATCAAATTTCAGAAAAACTGAGTCAATCACTCTCTAATTTGCTATTACATAGTTTATAAATACTCAAAAAATAGCTATGGTAAAAATTACCTCTAGATATAAAATGGAAACCAAAGTGGATATCAATTATGTCAGATAGATTATTAACCACATTGTGTTTGACAAAATAGTAAAAGCAACTACAACAAAATAAACTTAATGACTTTGTTGAGGTTTAAACTTAAGTAGACTGTACCATGTGTACCGTGTGTGGGTTGAAATTAGTAGTCAGAACACAGGAGATTCTCAGCTCAGATGTGATGAGTTGGAATGTTTTTTTAATCTGTTTTATGTACCATTATTTCCTATATATCCTTTGTGCTTTAATTAATATAAAACTCAACAGCAAATTAGTATGTGAAGTGTAGTGCCTTGTACAGTGTTTATCTAAGCACTAGTCAACAAAGATTAATGTAGATTTGCTGTTCTGTCAAGAAAATAACTCTTAGTTCCTAAAATGGATGGCCACTAGTTTGGTATATAAAGGTTATCAGGTAGCCTTAACCAAACTAGATGTTGAATATTTTGTAAACTATATGAAAAAATTTTCACATATTATTCAAAAGCCATTCAGCAGATATTTCCTAAATTGTTACAAAAATAAAAAAGTATTAAACTAACTGTAGAAAAATTTCATCACAAAAATAGCTCATGCTTAAACAAGTTATTAAACACTGCAAACATATACATGTATATATATACATAGTACTGTTGAGTGACATTGTAAAATTGAAAATATACTGTATCTTCCCTAAAAATCTTTACATTATTTCATATCATTTAAAAACAGAACCTACTTTTTCATCAAAGCTCAACAAAAAACTATGACTAGAATATTTCATAGAATGTAATCATTAAATCTTCTCAATACACCAAACTATAAATAAATGGTAAGAAAACATTATCATGAGATTAAGTGATTTTTACATTTGTTTACAAACCTCACCTGGATATATGAAATATTTGTTAAGTCATAAAAGTTTGAAGCTCGCATATCAATTTGTCCAGGAATTATGTATGTATCACACTCAGGTAATGCATCTAATAAGAGTTTAAACAGGATATAAATAGTTTATTAGGTACAGAAAAGTTACACTTTAAAGAGTCTGAAATCTAGAAGTACAAAAATTTTAAAGCCTTGTAAATAAAACTTATATAACAAAGTTTTTACATTCTGAGAATGGTGAAGATATGAATTCAAGTAATTTAGAAAAACCTTTTCTTTGGTTAAAGTTGAATAACTAAGACTGTATAAGCTCGTACAGCATACTTTGATTATGTTATGTGTTCTAGCTTTAAAGAAGTATATCATGGCTTAGAATCAGTGATGCCTAACTAGTAAATAATCAGTGGGTTCTAGTGCTTAGCCAATGACCATCAAGGAACAATAGCTATATTTTAGCAATTGTTATCAAGGCATGATTATGAATATTCAGACTAGTTGTAAAAATAGTTGTAGTCAATGTAATTCAAAAAAGCAGCTGCAATATTTATGTGAAAAAATTCAACATATAATGATAAGCAATTTTTGGTAGCTTGTTGTGCAACTTTCCACAGGAGTCCATTAAAAGTAGCAAAAAACATTCAAGCAATGTTTTGATTTCACATTAGGAAATGTAATTATTATCACAAACATAATCTAAAATTTGATAATACATCAAAAATATTAAATAAAAAATGAAGTAACAATTTGAGGAATACCTGAGCTAAATATCCCTAATTTTGAAATGATAGCCTATAAGGAAGGCAGTTAATCAATGCTGCCCACCATCAACTTTTGGACTATTCTAACTACTCTAACCAAATAGTGTGAGATTTGACCATCATCTTATAATGCACCTACAGCCCCAAAGTATGGAGCATGAATATTTTTGGCCATGTTCACCCTGAGTGAAAAATGCAATACTTCTTTTTTATATTTGTCAGTTAAGTGTCTTATGGATCCTATGAAAGTGTAGTAAAATTTAAAGAGCAAAAAAAATCTTCCTTCCACTATATTTGTCTTAATTAAAGTAATGAAGCCTCTATAATTTAAGAAATTGCATGTTAAAGAGCTTATGCTCCAAGTAATTCAGCTGCCCAATTCACAACAGATAATTCTTGTCACATCCCTTCAAAATTTGCTTTTTTTGAAATTTTAACCAAAATATCATTATTCCTTATCTCCATATGCAGCAGAACATTGAACCTAATAGAGCAATGATCACTTGCACCCAGATGTTCCCCAATTTCCACCCTATCAATCATTTCTGTATTTGAAGTTAACAATAAATATAACACCCCCCCTCTTTAATACTCTATCACTCTTAAATAGCCTGTAGCCCTGTATTTCTAAGAAATTTCTGTCTTAAAAATCATCTACGTTTAACCATGTTTCAGTTATTTCCATTATATTCAAATTCTCCATTCCTACCAGTGCTCTAAAGTAATCTATTTCATTTTTTTATCCTTCTAGCATTGCAATAGTAACAATTAAGATTATCCTTATAACTACTTCTACACTCATTACCTATGCTACATTTTTCTTTTCCTGGCCCTCATCACTGTCTAGTCCTAGTTTAAAACTTCCCTTACAGCCGAGTTAATAGCCTTAGCAAACTCTATTTAAATGTAAACCATCCATTCTAAAAAGCTCCCTTCTTCCACTGAACTGATCCCACAAGTCCAACCAACCAATTTGCTCATCCTTACATACTAAATTTTTACATTTTCAGCCAACCTTTCCTCATACATTGTTTTGATGTCCTAATATCCTCTTTTACCAACTTCCTTGATCTTCTAAATCTTCTGTCATACCAGTAAATTTAAATTTCTTAAATTTATGATGCTTTTCTTTAATTTTATCTCTTATAGCCTTCATGAGCCAATCTAGTTTTTTACTTGTAGCTACTCTTTT